GGGTGGGAGCTGTGGGGTCCGCTAGTGTCGTTTCTCCTCACAGGGTGAAGTGGAGGAAACCCTCCAGAGGATTCAAGCCCACAAAGGGGTTATCGCACTGATGGTTATAAACCCCGAAGGTAAGGTGTTCTCTGCTTTCGCCAGGTAGCGCACTGGGCAGCAGCAACGCGTGCAGTACCGCTGCTGCACCAGGTTCTGAGGTGCCAACACCATCCCCCTTGTGATGTTTTACCAAGGTGTCCTGATTTTTCCAGAATGTGTGTTTCGTCTTCAGACATGAGCATTTGGGTTGTGGCCATTTCTTGAAGCTCTCCACGTGATGTGGTTTTTCATTCAAGTTAATGGAAAGCAGAAAAGTCAAGAGCCTTGACATAAGTCTTCTCTGAAGAAATAACTAGGAGCATCATAATCTTAATTTAACTTAGGCTGTTACATGTTGTTACTTATCCCTCTTGTTTAACTAAAGTAAACTATTTTTCAGAACCAGATCTTGAACATCTCTTGGTAGGTTACGAAAAGGCAGAATGTGTGGCACTAAGCTGTTGCTTTTGCTGGCATTTTTTAGTCCAAAATTCTTTGTATATGCAAGAATATTCACTAGCACTTCACTCTCCCCCTCTTCCTCTGAAAAGTTAGAATAAAAACATCAGGAGAAAAGCGTCTACAAAACAAAGTTGGTCTTCTAATGTGGGAGCCATTCCTTGGCCCTGCCCAACGTTCGCAAGTTCTTTAAATTGTGTTATGGTGTGTTGTCATAGGAGGAGGAGCAAGTTTGATGTCAGGCCAGCTTCGACTGCGCTCCTGAAAATTGCAAGCCAAAAGTGAACCTGCTCACAGGAATCAATTTTCAGATGCTAGGCTTCTCAGGTTAATCTGTTTTAATCATTCCCTTACAAAAAAGATGACTCACTCAATTTACCTTGCCCATAACTTAGGTGACTTCCTTCACTTTTACAATCCCCCCAAAAAATCTATTGCACTGGCAGCAGTTTAGCAACAGTAGGCAAGAACATTAAGAGGGAAGCCTAAATGTTATTTAGTCTTTAGAAAATGTGGACAATTTAATTTGTGTGCCTGGACATGTTAAGTAAAATGTGCCTTTGTTCACAGAATAGATGATGCATGTCAAGAGAGAAGTGCATAGCCTGGCAAATAGAAACTGAAAAGCTGCTTTGTGCCTGCACATGCTCATGTCTAGATATGACTGTCACTAAGCTGAATGCAGGCTGGTTTCAGAACAAGTACTGTTTCAGACAGTTCTGTAATCAGTTTCAGTAAACAGAATGTGACTTGATCCAATGAGCACTTAGACTAAGCTGCAAATGAGAAGCGAACAAAATCAAGCACTCAGATAACACAAATGATCCTTTTTGAGCTTGCAGACTGCCACCAATGTAATCTAATAGAAAAATAACCCAGGTTTTTTCATGTTCTGTTACTTGCAACAGTTGACTACGTGGCACAACATTGCTGAAGTATGCTTTCCCACTCGGCAGCACTACTGTGACCCATCTTTACCTGTGGTCATTGTACGGCACTGAGGGCAAGCTCAGGTATAGCTGTGCAGAGTTAGGACAATAGCATACTTTTTTAAAGGATGGTTTGGATTCCTTCTGTGTCAATATTGATTTGCAAAGGAGGAAGAGCATTCCACTTCTTTTTCACACATTAGACTATTCACGGCAAGGTATAAATTCCCCCCTTGTCCTGTTCAGACTTCCTCATCCTCACAGACCTGTAAAACGTGTAGCCACACTGAAGCCAACAGGTAACACTAGTGCAGGAATTTTGGTTTTAGTTTATCATTTAGAAATGTTTTGACACTAGATGCCAGATATGAATGGAAGAGTTTGTACTTTGTGAGGATGTATTCAAGGTACCAAGAAGTTAGATTCCACAAACATAAAGTAGGTGTGTAGTTGCAAGATTTTGTAACATCCCCAAATATCCATAATTAGCACTCATCAATCTAATTACTTTAAATTTTTCTGTAGAAAACTAAATTTAATTTTTCTCTATCCTGAAACATTTAAAACAAGTGTACAACATAAATTAATCACAGTAAAAATAGTCAAACCAGTGGTGCAGTAGGGAGGTTTCTTAGGCTGTTCAGGTTCCCTAAAAAGATTAAATTCTCTGTTCTTCACTAACATAAACAGTTGTCTTTTGTGAAGATTTTCATATTAGCGTAGGTACACTTAGGTGTAATAGTGTGCAGGTAAAACAGCAAATTGAAGATTCCTGATACAAGCATTGCCTGCTATTTATTTTAATGCTCAAAGTTGATTTGCTCATTGAAACACTATGGTAAGTGTCCCACTTTTATTTGGAAAAATCTCATAAACTGTTGCTATCCTTCTCAGCTGGGAAGGATCACACTACAGCATTTCTAATGAAGGATTTATTTGCCTTTCTCTAATTTGGGTGGCAGAGGCAAAGATAATTTGTCCTAAAGTAAGCATAGCTCAGCTTTAATCTAAGGATGTCACTAGTGTCAACTCATTTTCATGTTATTATTAGACCTTGGAGGATCATTTAACATTTACCATTTTCATTTAAAGTGCTGTATTTGTTGAAGCACTCATTTAGATACAAGGTCATATAAACTTGACACTAATTCATCGCTGCTTTTAAGTGACTTACTATTTCATCCTGTGATTACATAGATATTCTCATGCTAATGCAATGCTTGGGAACACCTGTTTGTTGCATTAAAACATCAGTTTCAATGTCTGTGTAATAAACATTAGACACAAAGGATGTACTGTGGTGTTCCGAACACTTCCCTAAAAATCCTATTCAAATAACGCCCTTCTAGGAAAATTATGGAATAGTCTAATATCTGAGGTGGTTCTATCATTTCTTTTACTCCCTTGCCTCTAATACTTTACTTGGCATTCACTGTTTTTGCATCTTAATTCTTCTTCTTTCATAATCAGTCTTTTCAACCTAAGTAATATTATTCTGGTTTTGTATTCCTATCCTGTCCATCTGGAAGGCACAACATAAATGTATGCAAAGAGAAAATTGCCTTGCCAGCTTGTAATCTATTGTCTTTGTTAGCTGGTCAAATACATTTTTTTATTAGTGAAACAAGCTTATTAAAGCCAAACACTTCTACATGTGCTGGATTACTGTGAACCCTGTTTTTAGTTTCATCTGGTAGCCTACTAATATAAAAAGCATGATTTGACAAATCATTGATAAACAATGATTCATTAAATCATCAAAAATCAATCTTGACTTATGTGGCCATATTTTTAATAGTTGGGATCAATACACTGTGTGCTACCAATTGTCAATATTTTGTTGCTAATTGGAAGGGATTGTTCCAAGAGTGGTTTTGCTTACCAAATGCAAACGTGCCACTTCTACCCTTTGATTGCTCTCGGTATTTCACTTGGAATGTTAGATTCTTGCAACCAAGACACAAACTCAGGGACAGTGTTTAAACTGATGAAGAACCATAACTGGGTAAGTACTGCAGAAAGGAATTTGATAGGTATTTAAGAGCCTTAAACAGCAATTAAGTTTTTTCAAAAGTTTCAAAAGGCAACTCAATGTTTAACTGCCACTGATTAATATAAATTATACTTTAAAAAGCATGTTGATACCTGAAATCAATACAATTGCTTTCTGCTACAAAACAAAAAACCTATGAAATCCTTGGTTTTTCCTCTTATGATCTGCTGCATATGAAGAATATGCAACTTAACTGAATGGTTATTAGAAAATTATTTGTTTGCAGGAATTCCAGTAAGAACAAATCTTGATCACCCTACAACAGTCCAGTATGCATATCATTTTCAGCAGCTCATCATGCAAGCAAGGAGCGCAGTGAGAGACATTGATCCTCAGAATGATCTAACCTTTTTTAGGATCAGAACAAAGAAACATGAAATTATGATTGCTCTAGGTAATAGTTCTATTAAAATAACAATAGAATTGTATGTCCTTTGAAGTTTCTTTTAATTCTTCATGAATAAGGCTACCATAGAAAATGCATATTGAAAATAAGTATATGAAAATATAACCATATATTCACCATGTAACCGGATGTGTTAGGATTTTCATGTACAGAGCTTATAGTATTCAAGCTTGGAGGCAACAAAACAAGTCCAGATCTGATCAGTGGTCTGATTTTTGTGAGGTTTCACAAAGGAAAATTGGACATATATATACACCAAGTAGTATATGTGTATATATATATAGTATTAAATGCAGCAAATACATTTTATCTCAAAACAGATGCAAAAAATCTTTTTTTTCCTAAAAATTATTTTTTACTTGGTAAGTTATCATGGCTTCCTAGCCATAGGTGGGATTTGTGTTGCCGATAAATGTGCAGTATTACCACCAACATAGTAACTGATATAATTATTTTCCTTAAAACAACCAAGGGAATATATTTCCACATAAATATATTTCCAATATAAATTCCACAACCAGGGTTGTGATTGGTTGGGGAGGAGATCCTGATGTGTGTGCTAGCTAACCAAGAGACTCATGGCATGGAGGATTTTGACAAATACCCAATGAAGGCATGCAGAGCAGAAAGGAAGCTTCAGGGATCTCCTCAGCGCAGCCGCTGGGGAGGGCGCTGGCTCAGAGCCTGTAGCGATGGGCAGCCTTTCCTGGGGTGCTCCTCCACTGCTGTTTTCATAGCAAATGCAGCGCCAAGGTACTGCACTAGGTGTGTGTTACCTCGCCTCGCTGGGATTATTTATAATGCTTCTATGAAACCAGTATGTGTGAAAGAAATCTGGCACTGTCATTAAGTGTTAACATTAGTCATCAGCTGATACTAAGTTTAAAATGTTAGTTTAGTTTCTATTTTGGAGTATAAACCTAATGCATTTTTTAAATCATGTTTCTTGCTCATTTATTTGAACTGATGCGCTTGATTCAGATTTTGCATTTGTCCTTCACTTATTTTTTAGAGGTGATTTTTTGACTAGTAACTATTAAAGCATGTTGACCTGAAAATGAGTGGTATAAAAAGTGAAGCTTTTTTGTTAACAGGGAGATTAGTTGTTCAAAGGCTTGGTTGTATTTTCCTATAACAGAAGATGGCAAATGACCCACCTGTAATTTATATTGAGTTGCTTTTGGATTAAAGCGACAATGCAGGAGTGCAGCTTCTTAACTCTCCAAAGCAGATATGACCCTACTAAATTCACTGGATACTTCAATAAATGCTTTCTTTAAAATAGATAATGTTAAACAGCTACCCAACTGAATTGTTTCCAAAGCTTCCCTGGGTTTTTAGAATTGGTAGGCAAAGTCTGGGATGCTTAGAATTTATTAATAGTAGAAGTCTATTCAAATATTTTCAGCTTTTTTCATGTCCAAATGGGGTTCTTAACTTTGAATAAACTGGTTAGTGAACTGAAAGAAGTTCTCTGCACCTGCAGAAGAGGCTGCAGATGTCAAAAGTTTTTTATTATAACAAGTGCGAGCTTCCAGGTGCTTGTCTTGTGACTTTTTTTCATCTTGTTTAAACATTTTTACAGCTTCTTGAAAGCAAATCTGCTGCTTACTAAAATAGTTTTAATATGGTATAGTTAAGCTTTAGGACACAGATTTTTTTTCCAATCTGCAATCTCAGATTTTTGTACAAAGTGCTTACATTTTCTAAATGTTTTTATATAAATGCCATGGCTTTTGCTTGTTTTATAAACAAAAAAAGGTTGCAGAGGAATAGATGAATAAAGATTATTTATCAGGAAATAAGATAAAATGTTTAACTAAATATTTTTATATCTTTTTGCAGAGAACGAGTATCTCCTGATCATTATTCAGGAACCATGCGAATAGTCCTACTACGGCAATACTTTTAGAGATAGCAATGTAGTTCTGCTTGTTAAACTAATACTACTTTGTTGATTTTTCATACCAAACATAGCACTAAGTAATTTTACATAAAGTGTAACTGTCGTGACTGAAATGTTAACAATTTAAAGTTCTCTGTTGTAGCTGTCTTAATTTGTGTTTCAGCACGTCATAAGATATATCAAAATATTATATGTTTATCTTGATAATCAGAAGAGCAATAATAAAGCAAAATGCTTAAAACTCTCTTCAATGGATCTTCAAGCTATTCTTGCAATTAAATCATTCTCTGTACATTTCTAATGTTATGTTGGAAGAGAAATCATACCTTGTGGGAAACTGTAGACCATGTGTATACATAAGTGTATAGATGTGACCCTATGAACTAGAGTAACCACAGCTACAGGAACCAAAGAACACAAGTGTAGCTGATGCCAGGAATGATGGGCTGGATATTGCCCTGTCTTTAACTCTTGTTTTTTTAACTTTTCAAAGGGAAAAAAATTGAAAGAAAAAATATCTTTTATTATCTTACAATTTCTACAGATGGAAACAATAGCTTCATTTAATATTTTCAGTACTGAGCATTTCAAGCACAGTTGAGCCTGCGCTCTAATGTAGAACTGCTGTTGGTTGGTAACGGTAAACAGTGGTGTAATTAAACCAAAACATTCGATAATTAGTTCAGCCTTTAGATCCAATACACAAGCTGCACTCCCTAGTGACATGGGACAAAGGGTGGGTCTGAAGCTCAGAACGGTTCCCAGATCAGACCAATGTTTATACAGGAGCCCCAGAGATCAGATACGCACTGTTGAATGCCTTTAAAACACATGCATGGATAAAGGGCCACTGTAGGGTTAAGCTACCTACAACTCCATCCTCTCCTGAAGACATGCTCTGTCAGTGCCTGGGGATGAGTCTTGCGGCTGATGTGCCCTCCTGGCTGGGGGGGAGCGGCACAGAACTGGGTGCAGCACCCCTCTTCTGCCCGCACCGTATGCCTCAGGCAAGAGTGAGCAGGGCTGCAAGCTTTCCTCCCTCGCGATCCCAAAGTGTGCTAAGATTTGCACCTGAGTGTATGCAGAGACAGTGTGAAAGTGCAGGGAGTTTGAGCTGACCTTGTGCTTGAAAAAATATCCAGTCACACTTGTACTACAAATCATCTCAGGTTATGCAGATTATATTTAAATTTTATTAATTATTTAAACTTTTAAACTTCAGATTGTCTTCAGCTGGCCACAAGAAGGTTTTTTTTCCTGGATATAGGAAGGAAAAACAACAAATGCGTGGGATGGCTATGATGAAAGGGATAATGACTGTTGAATATTGCTCAGGGATCTTTGTAGTACATCATACGAATTGTGGCTGAGGTTATGAAGCTGATAAATCACCGCACATCTTGGTGGATATGGAGTCAGCAACCTGCTATGAGGGCTATGTTATGTATCCCTCAAAACTTACACAAAGGAGAGTTATCAAAGCCTGGCTGGAATTTTTTTCAGTTCTGAGTCTTTGCTCAGATTATGCTGAATTGCACGGAATGGCTGTATTTCACTGACAAATCTGGGAGGGTTGGTCCTGGTCCTGAGAGCAAAAGGTATCTGAGCGCTGAGGTCTCCAATGCCAGCAGGCAGATCCCACACCCAAGCAGTGGGCGGTGGGGACCATTCAGTGTTGCTGCATATTGAGAGGAAGCGAACCAAAAGGCACGGTGTGGTGGAAATACAGCACAGCAATCCAGCTGGGCAGGGCTATTCCAAATTTTAAAGACATGTAAACCAACAGGACACCATTGGTGGCACTTAGTGTAGTCAGTGTTGTGCCAGGAGACTTTCCTTACCACTGGAGAGTTTTTCAGTTGTGCACTGGAAAACAACTATTTTAAGTTGTTTGTAATGAACCGATACATCAACATCTGGCAATGCTTTAATAAAACTAAGTTTTTATCTGTTATAATTTTAAAAATTCAACCTGTTTCTTGCTATGCATCAGTGAATATTTATTTTACTAATATCGTGGCATGTCAAACACTTATCATTTCAAATCCCACATTTTTCATTTCAGCACACACCCAAAACTATTGCTGAATTCCAATGACAATGTGTATTTGCAGCTAACAGTTTTGTTTCTGTAGTTTTCTCTAACAGCATTGAATTCTGTAGAGGTTTCGCTGTGTAAGTCCAGAAAACTTCCAGAATTACAGTCCCTATTACATTTTTTCTTGTCAAAAATAATATTGGCATTGCGATTTCCAACATCATTGAGAAATGTTCTTCAGCCCAAAGAACACAGTAGCGCATCACAAAGAGAAAAGCTCAGTGTCTGCCAACATTCTTTCATTTTTGTCTTTCTGATACAAGTGTTAGTTCCCTTTACAGACTTTAATCCAATATTTATTAAGCAGCTGATGATTGCTGTAGCTTGATAAAGCACTCAAAAAGACACTTAAGCCAAATCATTAAAATTAAACACATGCTAAATCATTTTGCTGAAAAGTGTTTTTTATGTGGAAAAATGGCCTTAAGCAGATGCGTGTCGTTCTCCAAGGGCCAAATGCTGCTCACAAATTAGTTTCTTTCCCTGTTCCTATGAGAGGCATAGATGCAGATAAGAGGGCAAAGTTTGGTCCGTTTATAATGATGCACGCAGTAACAAACGCTGTGCAAACACACGGGCTGAGCTCTGCTCCTGCCAGCTGCTCTTACAGGGCCGTCGCTAATCGCGTTTCCTTGAAAGCACTGCAGTATTATACAATTTTGGCAACATCTTCACTAGGGAGCATAAATTGAAATACTCCATTTCATTCCCTGGTAATTTGTTTCTATTTTCTGTTAGCAACAGCAAGCTGAACACGTGTAAACTCTTCATTTAGGTCTTTCAGTAGGAAATGGCAGCAACAATAGCTGTGTCTCTAACAGTGCTAGCGGAAAACCCTCCTCAGTCATCCATCTGAACAAAGGCGAGCCATCGAAAAGGAATGGAATCATCCAGACAAAATAGAAGGAAACACATTTTTAAGTGATTTGAGCACCACAAAAGCGTTGCCACAAGTCATTTAAGCTGTCATCTATGTAAACCAGCAGAGATTGTATTAGTTAACAATTAACTGAGGGGAGGCTGAGGGAAAAAGTAGCATGAAAGAGATTAATTTCATAAATGATCATTTTGTCAAGGGCATGTTGAGAATGTCAAGAACGGCTGTTGTTCATTGAGAGCCAGTGCCTGGGTTGAACTGTAACATGCTAGTTAGGCAATCAGCCAAGGAATAAATTATGTCAGTATCGTGTGTTTGGGGTTCTCAAGATAAATATAAATAGAAGGTTCTCAGAGAGCCTCCCACTTTCAAAATAAAATACCTTGGCTTTTCCTTAACAGATAATTTTTCAAAATGCATGGTCACTCGTGGGACAACAGCTCTGGCTGTTCAATCAAGGCAGTTCATTCTGTATTTTGCTCATCTGCCAATTAAATATATTTAAATATTTCACCAAATTCACATAAATGCACACTCAGTGGTAGTCTGGCTTTCTATTAAGTCACTTGGTTTTTTAGACACACAATAATCATTTAGTCCGCATTACATAATGCACATAGAAGTATCACATGGTGTATTTTTCAGTTATACTTTCAGCTTAACTCAAGATGTATGTAGATCTGTGTTCTTACGTTTGTACATTATTTGATTGTGTATATGGGATACAGTGACACAAACTGTGCAAGTGGTAAAGCATTTGTAAGATAATGAACTACTAACTCTGCCACAGACTTGCAGGAATTTATGTATTTGTATTTTGTCAGGTCTGGTAAGGGCACTCTTGTAACAGGATTCTTAGAAGGGAGTGTAATGGTGAGTACGGTGGTATTAAATATTAAGTCCAAATGGTCTGCAGTGGACAGTATTCATTAAGGATGTTCACAGTTCATCTAGGAAGCACTAAAAAGTTAAATATTAAATTTTCCTACTGCCAAGGAATGAATTATCAGACTGTGTACTTTGTCAGATATTAATTGTACTTGCTGACATAATTTCAGTGAGAAGTTCCTCAGATTTAGTGATGACACAAGGCTTCTTATACAGCAGTATTATATATGAGTGGCATATATGTGTGTATATATGTATATAAAGCATGTATACGTAATTACTGTCAACTTCCTGAGAAGGGTTTGTTGGACCACACTGGACTCTCTGAAGAAACTATTTGATCATAGTATTAATAACAGAGAATTTGATCGTAGTATTAATAACAGAGAACCTGAAAAGGGCAGGTTAGTAGAATATCATAGAATCATAGAATCATAGAATGGTTTGGGTTGGAACGGACCTTAAAGATCATCGAGTTCCAACCCCCTGCCATGGGCAGGGACACCTCCCACCAGCCGAGGTTGCTCAAAGCCTCATCCAGCCTGGCCTTGAACCCCTCCAGGGACGGGGCATCACAATCATCTGAAAATGCAGTTAGGAATTAATATTCTTTTCAAGAGTTTTTCAGTTTTTTTGGAACTAAACAGTGACAGCAGGAGTCTCAGTGACAGAGGGTTTCCCTAGCAAGAGGAATCAATCCCAGCTCCACTGTCTCAGCTCAGCAGGACACAAGTTCTGGGGTGGACCAAGAGAAAAACCACAGTTTTCCTAAATAATCTGATGTCATCTTTTTAATTATGTTTTAATTATTAAGTTACAATCTAGAGAGAGCAAGACAATTCCCCTATTGATTTTTCAAATCTCAGGCAGCTAAACTAGCGTAGCCAGGAGAATTCCAAGTTTGTTTTCCCTTTGCCTGGCACCTGAACAAATGAAATCTCTCAGTTTGTAGAAAAATTAGGTCATAAAAACAAGGTTCACTGCAGGACTTCACAGTATCCATGGGAGAAAGGAAGACTGATGCTTGGAGAGAAAGCCTAGAATGTCCTAAGTTAATTAAGCAGAACAGCAGAGGTACATCGTGTATCTGTTCAGATCGTGGTGTTGACTTGAATCTCTC